GCCCAGGGGGCCTTGGCCCGCCCCCCCCAGCCTGTGCCGCCTCTGTGGAGTGGATTCTGCAGCTCACGTCCACTGCTCCCTCCGGAGCCAACCGGGGTGGCCAGGGCCACCAGGGTTGTGGCGCCCAGCTGCCCCATCACTCAGCAAGCCCTTGTCCCCACACTGCCGGACACCGGGGCTGGACAGCACAGGCTTCGGGCATGCACGGGGCCCTCCGGGGCCTGGCTGGCCGCTTCCCCTGCCACCTTCCTGCTCCCCGCTCTGCCTTCTCCCAGCGGGCTCTCGGGTTAGGGCTAGGGACCCAGGTCCAGTCCGACCCTCCTTCGAGATGCAGAGAAGAATTTGGCATGGCCGTCTCCCCAGGGGCTGCTTTCTCACCTTCCTACTCTCTGTCTCTCTCTGGTGAGTGCTCGAGCCTTATGGTAAAAACCTAAAAAAAAAAAAAAAAAAGAAGAAAGTGCGGAGGATCGTCTGTGACCCACGCAGGTGCAGGACCCGGTCCCTGTCCCTCAGCCCAGGTGCAGCACCTAGGATGGGGCCGGGCCCAAATTTCCCTCCTGGGCTCCCTCCAGAACACGGCCTCGCCCACGGACTGGGACAGGCGCCCCACGTCTGCCCACCTTCCAGGGCCACAGTCAGCCACAACTACCCTCCACAGTGCCCGGGGTGGCCCTGTCCCTGCCCTGTGACAGTGGGCTGCAGACCCTTGCTCAGAGCTGAGTGGGAGCTGTGGTGGTGCCCGGGGTGGCCCTGTCCCTGCCCTGTGACAGTGGACTGCAGGCCCTTGCTCAGAGCCGAGTGGGAGCTGAGGGAAGAGTGAGCCCAGACTAAACTGCTTGTCCTAATGAGCAGAAGCAGAGTCCACCTGGGGGCCTCGGCCGAGCGTCAGGAACCGGGGCTGGGTGGGGGCAGTGGGGTCCCCACAGCCACCACGGGCCTTGTGAAGAGGGCACCCCAGGAGCCTCAGGAAAGGACTGACCTGCAGTCCCCGCATGTTAGCCCAGGGACGCCTAGGTCAGACCCCAACCTCGCAGAGGATCCAGCTGTGCCTTTGCAGAAGCTTGATCCAGATACGAAAAGAAACCAGACCCCACCCCCTTCCTGCAGCTGTTCCCTCTCCTCCTCCTTCTCCAAGCCTCCCACAGGACACCTCCACCATGCAGCCCTCCACCCCTCAGGGGTCAGCCCGCAGCACTGCCTGGGTGGCCGCAGATTCCCAACACATATTAGAGCTGGCACTGGGGGTCCTGCCGGATCCTCAGGACCATGCCAGCTTTCTTCTCCCTGACGCTGGGGCTGACCTGCACCCACCGGCCAAGCCCACCCCAGGGGAGGCCCTGCAGACACTATGGAGAGAGAAGCAGAAGTAGCCAGGGTCTGAGGGGTGAAATGGCATTGCCCCTGGGGGCCACAGCATCTCTACGCTGGCAGACACCACGGAGCCACGGCGAGGAAGGCCGGGAGGCATCTGAGCAGGAAGGTCACCATCTCCAGATGAGATGCTCATGTGAATGACAGATGGACCTTCCTGCCCAGCATGGGTGGGCCTCCTCCAGTCCGGTGAAGACAAGAATGGAACGAAGCACCCAGGAATGAGGCATTCCTGCAGCCTCCCTCCTGGTGACCTGGGACACCGGTGTGTTCTCGCAAACTCAAAATGGAACCTCCACGCTGCTCGGCCTCAGCCTCCACCGTGGGGCACTCTCGAGCAGGAACCACAGGGGATACCTGCGTGGATCCAGAGCTCACGGGTTCCATGACCAGCTGGTGTCACAGCCTAGTTAGAAGTAAGAGGGCATCAGGGACCAGCAGTTGGCATAATGGCTACGTCGCTGGACTCCCATGTAGCTGACTGCGGTTCAAGTCCTGGACTCAGTGGCTTAAACTCACACCCGGCGCGTGTGCGTGCGTGCCCAAGATCCCCAGAGGAGAATGGAGGAGAAGGGATTGTGGCGTGACCATCCCCCCTGGGGGGTGATTTCTCGCTTTCTGTCTCTCTATCTCTCTCTGTCTGTGGCGAGTGCATGCGCCCTATGGCAAAAACCTCTCCAAAAAAAGGAAAAAAGAAATAAGAGGACATCAGACAGCCAAATTTATTGGAGTTTATTGATTAAGCCAGCTGCGTGGGGTGGGGAGGACTCACATCTCTCAGAACCCAGCAGCCCAGAGTGCAAGGTGAGGGGCGCTTATAAAGGTGAAAACCACACCGTTCCGGTTGAAGCCTCAGCCACAAGAAGAAAGAGAGCTGGGCTTGAAAGGGTAGGGGTAGAGTTTTACAGCCTTAAAACAAAGCAAGCCAAAGTGCATCAGAGAAGCAGGAGAGGTTAATCACGCCCCAGGGCATGTCCTCCCCGCCTAAACACAATGGAATCTGAATGGTCCCCACGGCTCAGGGCTCAAGGGTCAGGGCAAGGTCGTGACTGGACCTTAGTTAAGGCAGGTGGGAGGAGTGGGGTTTAAAGACAATAACCCTGTTCATCACTTCATGTACTCCTAGGCAAGAGAAGGCAAGTTTCCAGGCTTCCTTCCCCACTTCTCTCTCCCGGGGATCAAACCGATTCCTCGTATCAGCTAGAGGGCCGGGCGATGGTCTCTTGGCAGGTCAGCAGGTTTACCGAATTTAAAGTCCGGTTTGAACCACCTTGGGCTGATTCCGTGGTCTCCACCTGCCGGGCACAGTTGCTCACGCACAGTTGCTCACGCCCGGGAGCGGCTGGTCAGACTGGCTCAGGGCGATGTGCAGCCTGTAGGTTCAGGCAGTTTATGGAAGAGGACGGCATTGGCGAGGCTCTTTTTTTTTTTTGGAGAGGTTTTTGGTATAGGGCGTGCACTCGCCAGAAAGAGAGAGAGAGACGGAGAGACAGAAAGCGAGAAATCACCGCCCCAGGGGGGATGGTCACGCTGCAATCCCTTCTCCTCCATTCTCCTCTCGGGATCTTGGGCACGCACGCACACGCACCCGGTGTGAGTTTCAGCTACCAGGTCCGAGACTCGAACCGCGGTCGACTACGTGGGAGTCCAGCGACATAGCCATTACACTAACTGCTGGTCCCAGCATTGGCCAGGTTCTTGTGGAGATAATACAATTTTTTACAAAACAGAGACTGTATTCTTTCCTTTTTAGTCTGTACATATTTGCTGGGGCGCATCACCTGGCAGTGTAGGGCCTGCTGTGTTTGGGCTCTCGAGGTAGTGTTTAATATTTAACGGGCTTCGTCCTGTGTGAGATGCATTGGGTAAGAAAACGGAGTAACCCAGAGCGAAAGTCAAAATGAGAGCTTGGTTAATGGAGGACGTACAGGGCAAGGGCCGAGGCGCCTGCAGCCAGAGGCCACCCTAACTGTCCTGTGAGCCGGCGGCCTGGTCTCTGCCCACCTGGCCGTGGAGCAGCCGGGCCACACTCCTGCCGGGGCCTGACTTAGCGTATCACCTCCGGAGTGACCAGGGCAGGGCCACGGCTCTCTGGTCCCCGAAGCACTGTCAGAAAGGACCTTCCTGGCCTGTCGTCACGGACCAAGGCCCTGGGGAGTCCGCGGGACAGCCTCTTGGCTTCGGTGTGACAGTCCCCAGGCTGACTTTACCAGTGGCAGTAGCCAGCACACCTGTGTGAGGCCCCGTCTAGGCTAGGTGGAGGGGCTCTTTTTTTTTCAGTTGTTTTATGCCCTGAGCTCAGGGTCCCCTCTGTGACCTGCTGGGTGTCCCCGAGCTCAGGGTCCGTTCTGTGACCTGCTGGGTGTCCCTGAGCTCAGGGTCCCCTCTGTGACTTGCCAGGCATGCCCCGAGCTCAGGGACCCCCTCTGTGACCTGCTGGGTGTGCCCTGAGCTCAGGGTCTCCCTCTGTGACCTGCTGGGCATGTCCCGAGTTCAGAGACCCCATCTGTGACCTGCTGGGTGTGCCCAGAGCTCAGCGTCCCCTCTGTGACCTGCTGGGCGTGCCCCGAGCTCAGGGACCCCCTCTGTGACCTGCTGGGTGTCCCCGAGCTCAGGGACCCCCCTCTGTGACCTGCTGGGTGTTCCCGAGCTCAGGGACCCCCTCTGTGACCTGCTGAGTGTGCCCCAAGCTCAGGGACCCCCTCTGTGACCTGCTGGGTGTCCCCGAGCTCAGGGCCCCCGTCTGTGACCTGCTGTGTGTCCCGAGCTCACAGGTCCCCCCATACCCATGAGTGTCCTTCCCTGAGCTGCTCCAGGGTCCTCGGCCCTGGAACATCAGCTGAGTGGCCTGGTGTGTGGGGACTTCAGGGCCCAGGGCCCTCCCGCGGTGTCCACCTTCTTCCTGAGTGTCGCAAGTGGACGTTGCGCAAGGCACTCGGGCTGAGCAGGCCCTCCACGAGAGGGTCTCTCACCGCGGGCACCTCATGCCGGCTGCTGTGCTCACAGGCTGCTTGACGACCCCGGGACCCGGGCGGGAAGGACCAGGGGCCTGTCCTGGGCCCGTCCCTTAGTGAACCCCTCCTCCTCTTCAGGGGCCCCTGCCCACCCGGCCTTGGCTGTCCCCTCAGCCGTGTCCCCCTCAGCTGTGTCACCTTGCTGTGTCCCCTCGGCCATGTCCCCCTCAGCCAAGTTCCCCTTGGCCATGTCACCTCACTGTGTCCCCCTCGGCTGTGTCACCTCACCGTGTCCCCGTTGGCCATGTCCCCTTCCTTGCAAACAGGTAGCGTTGTGTGCGTCTGGTTCAGGGGTGGGAGGCTGCCCGAGTGAAGAGGCGCCCGTGGCTTTCAGACAACGGCCACTGGCAGCCTGGGCTTTCCGGGCCCGAGTGCTGCTGCTGCTTCTCTTCTTTTCTTACACATCATTTATTT